AAACAAAAAATACGACCCCCCCCCCCCCCCCCAAAAAAATAAAGTCAACATTAGTCTCCAAACTTATCATGTAAAGACATTTTACTTGTCAGAAAAGAGGAAAACATCAGTTTAGAAAATTAAGAGCTGAAACTCTATCCAGCCAGCAGGGTTTTCCTGGAGAGAACAGGGCGGAAGTTTGTTTAGGGCTACCTTTAGGCTGCTTTCTCAGGCTGTCTGAGCCGCCTGACACTTTCTAAACACATACAGTAATGTACACACAAGAACAAGGAGTTAGAAGCAGTATTTTTATCATCTTATTTGACGACACTTGGTGAAGATACCATAGTACATTAAGAGATGTAATACTAGTGTGTTCAGAGCACAAGGTAAGCGCCTGCTCTGGTACACTGCACCCGCACCGACACTTGAATCAGTGAGGGGTGACAGGAAAACAAACAAACAAACAAGGAGGGAATTGGCTCAGCACTCCACATCCCACAGCACAAGCCTGGGAATTGCCTGATATTTTCCAAGTTTGTGAAAACAGCTACTGCTAAGTCAGGACACTACCGACACTGCAAAAAATTAATCAAAAAAAAAAATCCAAAACCCCCAAAACAATTAAAATAACACAGTACAACAGGGAGGTTGGACTAGATGATCTCTAAGGTCCCTTCCAGCCTAGGCCATTCTATGATTCTACGACTCTACAAACCTTTCACTACCAATTTCCACCCTAAAATGGATGGAAAACAGGCCTGACAGTTTCCATGCAAAAAGCTAAGAGTGAATGAGGCATTTTCAGCAAGAACTGGTTGAGCACTGCAGGTCTGCCTACGCACTTATCACCCAGCCAGAAGTACACATGAATAACCATCCCGAATTCAAGATCTACTTGTTGAATTACACATAAAGAGACAGGTAACTTACAGGGTTTTCTGGGAAATTCTGTTCCACCTGTCATTCATTGTGCTGCTGAACAGAGGCATTCTTGGATGCCAGGTATCAAATATCACAGAGCACACTAATGTAACCAAACTTAAGTATTAATCTGTGCAGACAAGATTTCTGCAATAAATTCAGTCACCACCACTGTTTCTGTAAAAAGTTCAGCAGCCAACAGCCGGTAGGTGAACAGCACAAACTCCTATCTGAACACAGCAGCCGTGCCCTTTAATGTCAACTCACACCTACATTTCTTGGCTTAGTTCCTTCACGTTTGTATACATCTAGTTTTAAAGACATTTTTATCTACCAAAGCAAAGTAAGCCAACCCTGTGTAAAAACACTAATATCGTGACATTAGGTATGACATTCTATGAGCACGCTTCTTGAAGTGTCAGCAGCACTCACCTGTTCTTCCTTTTTCCCATTTTAACCCACACTTGGTTAGAAGCTACAGATTTAACTTCCAAAAGAGCAGCCACTGTTGTTCTCTACCATGAAGCACCTTCCTCAGAAGCTAAATACTTCCTACAACCACAAATGGCTCGTCAAAACGAGTTTGTGTCTCATAGTTCCCCTCACCACCATCCCAAGCTACCTCCAGTGATTTCCAGGGTACATTTCACAAAGGAACAACAAAGACACTAAACCAAATATAAATACACTGCTTCCAAACTGCCACTCTTGCAAGGTCAACCAGATACCACAGAAATAACTGAAAAGCTCAGCAAACCTTACTTCTGGCAGAGGGCTGGCCGGTTTGGTGAGGATTCCTCCCACATAAACAACGTTGGGCAGCGTAGGTCTCGGAAACTCCAGCGCCACATCAGTACAAAGCATCCACAGGCTGGATCCATGAACCAAGTCATACATGGACCGTTCAGGCAGAATCTTGTGTTTCTGCATTATCCTTTCATATTTTGGCAGAACCAAAAAACTGACTCCGAACCTTGAGATGAGATACACAGCAGTATTTTTAATCCTCTCCAACAGGTTCATGTGATCCGTGAGCAGCGAGTTAAACTCTGGAACGTAAGACAGAGGAGCTGGAGCACCCACTTCTGCAGGATACCAGAGGCCAGTGGAAAAGACAGCATATTTAACCCCTAAAAGATGAGCTATAACAAATCCACACATCTCATTGGGATCTACAAGGAGCAGGTCAAATTTTTCCTGTTTCAGGACACGCATGAGGTTTTGGTTGCCGACGATCATATCGCAGTTCTTGGAATAGTGGTCCAGGATATCAAACAGTTCGAGGGCTGTCAGTCTCCCAGAGAAAATACTCCTCATCTTGGACTGGAGAAAATCATCCGAGGTGCTGCTGTTAAAGATCCCTGGGTAGCGCTGAAGTCTATAGTGGTTAGATGGAGGAATCTCTCTGCCCTCAGAGAGGAGAAACACTGTCTGGTGACCTTGGTCATGCAAGGCTGAGGCCAGAGTCTTGAAAATATAAAGATGGCTTTCAAACATAATTGGCGGCACAACAACGATTTTGGCAGCCCTTGCTATCCCGACAGCAGTCCAAAGGAGAAGGAAAGCTGGAGCGTACGGCTTCATAGCTGAAATGAAAAGTCAAAGCATTACATCAACAGACAACGGGTTTGTGCGCTTCCTGGGAATTTAAAGAAGTTATTATGCGGCTACCCCACAAAAACTCATCCCATACACTTATTGTAAGAGATGCCTTGGCAGTGGTTACGGGGAGTAACAGAGGCACTTGGCATCAGAGTGCATGCGGTAGCGCTCTTCTTTCCACCCAGATCCACACTTTCCTCTCCCCTCGTTTTGCATTTAACATTAAGGGTAAACAACAGGCTTCAAGACAAGTATCAATACAGCACCTTCATCAAACAGCAGCGAAATCAACTGTGATAATGAGGTCAGTACTCTACAGAGATACCACGTGCACCATTTGTACATTATAAATGCCATCCAGCAACTTGACGTCAGCTCAATCCTGCAACCTTTACGATGATATATAAAAGTACAACTACATTATTCTCCTTGTAACACACTAAGATGCTAAGTTGGACGATCCAAGGGCTTAAATCTTGGATTTATTCATACAAGACCCAGTGAATGCACTGGTGTTTTTCAGTGAGTAAGATAGCAGTATCTTGTATAAACGCAACTGGGACATGTAACAGGGCCGTCTTAATTTTGTAGTTTGAGTGCCTGCGTGTCACACCACTGTTAACATTATTATAAGCATTTATATCACAAACTCTTGTCTGATAGTGTGCCACAACGTTCAAGCTGTTCTCCTTTAGGCAGCAACTCTCCCAATTTACATAGAACACTTTCCGCAGTTTTCTTTTCATATAAGCCAATGGGAAGGAAAAAATGGAAATAAGGTGGGTTTTTTGCTTCCTGAAGACACAAATTCATGCATTGTTTTTATTACTGACACTGATCAGATAGTTTGGGTTTCAAGTCAAAATCTGGCAGAAAGATGCTGTCACCCAATAAAAAACTAACTTTACTTCAAGCTTGCAAAAATTACGCTTTGTGTACAAAAACAAGCACAATAACAGGAGTCAGTACTACACACAGGGTCACTGCAACTTCCACTGAAGCACTTGCACGAGTCCTTGAACTTAGTTAAACCAGCACTTCAGAACACACTCGAGCACAACCTCAAACCTACACTGAAAACCCCGCTGCCATCCTCAACGCAGTTTCTGACAGCAGCAAGCTCTCAGGGAAAGGGAAATACTCTTCCCCCTGTGTCTCGGTGAGTCAAGCCTACAAAACAGCGCACGCACCAGGTGAAAGCCAAGAGCATGAGAAGCACAAAGCTTCTCCAACCCTTGAAACCTCCTAGGACAGGGAAACAAGCACGAGCCAAACCAAACAATCTGCTCTTTTCTCGTGCCAAACCAACCCACATTGAACCCTGAGTCTGTCGCAGTGTCCTTTATAAACAAGCACAACAGAAACAAGTAACCCTGATGGCCAGTCCTTGTTGTCTCCTTACAGTGTCATCTTGGAACCCTCCCTACAACAGACTGCTCAGGACTTACCATCCTTTTTTTCATGTCATGTCCATTAACAGCATAAGAGTAAACCCTCTATTTTTATTGCTAATATATAATAGCCAGCTTTTTGAAAGATGCCTCAATTCACTCCTACCCCAGCTTCTGCAAGTGGCTTGACTTAGAAACACGTTTAAGAGTGCACAAAGCTCAAGTAAATTTGGGAAATCACTACAGCGTACGTCAATGATTTAAATCAAGTTTCTCACATGGGAAGTTTTTTCTAACTGGATTTAAAGGCTCCCTCACACTTGTCGTCACCAAGTGTCAGCCATTGCCTAGGAGATTACTGATCAACCCTTACAAAACCCCAACAGTTTTAAATTAATTATCACAAGCAGTAGCACATGCACCCACACACACACATATGCACAAAAAAAGTTCATTCAGGCAGATCTACTTTATTTGGCACCTTTTAGTTTTTCCTTTCTCCAAGACAAAGCCCGTGGCACAAAACCTCACGGTTCCTATGGGCAGGTAGGAGTTGAACCATAGAGCATTTACTGAGCTCTCTACATCACCACCACATGCTCTGGCTGACCTCGCATTATGGGAAGTACTCAGAAGCTTCACTATTTCTAGGCACAAAGCTCCATTTTATTGAAATTACGCTTAAGGATAAGAGGAAGAGAATTAACATATGCAGATATTAAGAGTAGCACATGAGATCTTCACTGTACTGCAGCACTGTCACTGACATCAGGAGAAAGTGATTTAAGCTGCTTCATTTAGGATGCTGGCTAAAACACCTCTTGCTTGGCAAACAGTAGTTGAAGCTGAAGAGCAATCCTCTTCACTCCTCAGTGAAGTAGGAGAAGCATTCTTACTACAGCTTACCTCTCAGCATGAATGGCTGGAGTTCCTAAGGTATTATATGTCTTTTAATTTAGGCCTTAGCTCCCACTGGAGGATTTCTAGAAAAACCACAACCCCCTCAGAGCGCTCAGCTACCCTCCTGCAAGCTCCCGTTCACAATACATGCCAGCACAGAGCCCTGCCTACCACCTCACTTGGCTCTCATCCGTGAAACTCACTGGTTTCAAGTCACAGAGAGTTGTGCAAATAGAGAAGTAGACAGGCTTGGTTTAACACTCAGTAGTGGTATCACCAAGCTGTGCTCAGCTAGCTTCAGTCACTGGAAGGGAACACTCATTAGCCAAGTGTGGGTTTAAAAATAATTTTAAAATGTTTTGTTGACGAAATATCAAAGAAAAATTCTTAATTAAACCTGGCAAAAAGCTGCTGTTACTACTAGATCACCCCATGCTATAAAAAATGCCCACGGTGTTAAGTTACTGCTTTTGCCAACAATAGTGATATTACAAAACCGTGAACGGAGATGTAGGATTGAGAAACTGAGGAAGAGTTTCTATCAGCACCATAAATCAAAGGCAGCAGAAGCCTAAGGGCAGGTCATGATCCAAGAGGTATCCAGATGCAGGCGTGCCTTTACTTCGATCTTCTGACCCAATCCAGGCCTGGAGCACAGCACAGGAAGACACAATCCTTAGCCTTAAGACACAGTTCTCACAGCCAGGGTTACACACAAGCCACCAAAACCCACAGGAACAACAGCCATACTTTCCAGGGATGACACCAGTACTGCCCCACTGCTTCCCATCCCCACCGGTCACATCGGGAATGGGAATGGCATTGGAGTTTCTACTCTTTATCAAGGTACTACAAAGCACTACCTACCCCACATGAAAAATCAATGTAACTAAACGCAATTTAGCAGGTGTACCAACATCCTCGAAGCGGAAATGAACCGGTGTCCTCGAAGCGTGCCAATGTCAAGAGATGGCGACATACTTAGCAAGAGTCTGTACCAGGCAGTATTTCACAACTGCTGAAAAACACAGCCACTTTTCAAAATGAGTATTACACAACCCCCCCTTGTCAATGCAAACATCTTCCACTGGGACAAGAGAGGTGTACAGAACCTGCCAAGCCATAGAGCTATTAAACCCAGGATGCAATTAAATAAAGACCAATTAAGTGATATGTTTACTGAGAACAAAACCAGTGACCTGATAGTCAACTTGCAGAAGGAACCAAGCCTCATCATCTCATCCCCTGACCGGACAGAAGCAGGGAGCTGGTGTGCCAATCGGAGGATGTCCGCAAAAACGACACAGACACCAACAAAAGAGTTGTCTTATTTTACTGCCTATTTCAAGGTACTACAAAAATCAAGAAATGCGTTTAGTTAAGACAATAAGCTTCTTGGATTCTGCTTTTAGACAGCAAAGAGAATGAGCAGGGTGATGCCCCTAATCATTCCTACACGAGGTCAGTCATAGTAATTAAGAACTACAACTCAAATGCCCTAATACTCTACCATCACCCAGACCTGCGGTGGCTGGGGAGCCCCGGTTGCAGCGAGGATTTGGAGCCCCTCTCCCGGCAACTGGGAAGTCCCACGCAGTGCGGCCGCTCGAAACAACAACAAAGATGCAGATTGGCTTTATGCAAGTGAAACCAACTGCCAACTCTAAAGGGTTCACCTACTTGATCGCAGCAAGGAAAAAGTTAAACATTCAAGACCAAAACGTTAACCTACTCCAACAGCTCCTCTTAGAACTAATGACCTACATTTGTGCATTTCACAAATGAAAGAGAAAGTACAAGTTTTCCAATGCATTACAGACAACCAAGCACATGGAACAGAAGACTGAAGGGATGCTCTGAGCTGACCAAATAAGTTCTAAATCCTGATTTTGATATTTTTGTCTAAGAAGTATTTTTCATTCAACCAGGAACACCAAGAAGGTTCTAGAACAAGTGAGACTACAGAGAAACTGGTAACTTCCAGAGCAAAAAGTCAGGGAAAGGATCCTTCCCCCCACCACTAACAACAGCCTGATACTTGAAAACTTGTCAATATGGAAATAATACAAATATAAAGATAATTGGTTAACTTGTAAAGTCTTAATTTTTGCATTACTATGTTAAAATTAATATTAACATTGTATTTCCACCCTAAAAACGGTTTTAGGATAATGTCCGTAATTTATGTAAAATTACAAGAACCTATACCTAAGAGAAAATTTACTGCCAATCCTTCTTCTGCTAACTGCTCCAGTTAAAGCTTCCACGTATATTTGTGGGCTGGAATGTTTTCCATGCTTTACACCACTGGCGGCATACCTGCTATTTCCAAAATAGCTCTTCTTAAGACAGCAAAACTTTTCATTTTTTTTTTCCTCCCCTGTACTAAGATCCAAAAGCAAAGAGGCACTCCAGCACCTCTGAAAGTAATACAGCTTGAGTTCAATCTGCATGAATAATTACCCCCATTAAAAAAAAAAGAATCAGTTTTTAACCACTGAAGCATACTGTAACAAGAGTAGAGCTTTTTCTCATAATGAACACATAATACTGCTCACTTCAAAGCAACAAGTGCGCTTTTACAGAAATTGAGCTCTTAGCTTGTTTTCAGCCTTTCTTGTTGAATTTACCTGGGCTGTTTGGTCAGGCAACCAGGATCACTGCCTAGAAAAGGTGCCCCTCATACTAACA